TGCTCTTTATCTACAGCCTTAAGCTGCCATTTTTCTCACACTGATGCATCAAATCAAAATGCATCTCTTTCCTGGAGTGCCTGAGGAGCAAGGTGGTGCTGCAGCTCAGCTGGATCCCTGGCTGACTGAGTTTGTCTGCGTTGCTTTCAGTGAATTTGTGCAGGATTTGTTTCTTGCTAGACCATACTGCTGAAATCTTTGTAGATGGTAGCTGTTGAAAGAAAAGGTAGGTGTTTTATCTGCCTGGCAGTTCATGTTTCTGAAGATCTCCAGTTAATTATGTTACTTCTCAAATTTCTGTGACTTCTCTTGTGAGTTTCACCTCTGTCTAGGGGGCTGATTATGTAACATTGCAAACACCTTGAATTCTAAGCAGTTGCTTTCTGTGGAGATTTCATTTTTCTAGTAACTTTGAAGTGTTAAAAGAGTTTCTACCTGAAGATAAGTTTATAAGTAATGATTTAGCTAAAATCCAATCTAATGTTAGCAGCAAGTCTTTGATAGGGCTGGTGGGATGCCTTTTTGTAAAATGCATGCAGTTCTGCTTAATCTGCTCTTAAATACTGACACATGGCCTGTGTTAACAGCACTTTTTTTAAAAAAAAAAAAGTATATTCTGTTTGCAGATATGTGAGAAGTTTAACTAATGACTGTCAGTACTAGTATCTTTGAGTTCAGGATTAGATTCTTACTATTTCATAGAATCATAGGATGTCCTAGGCTGGAAGGGACCTTAGAGATCATTTAATCCAACCTCCCTGTCATGGGCAGGGACGCCTCTATTTCTGCAGTGTATTTCTGCTGTGGATTTCCACTGGGATTGAATGGTGGGCTTGGTGGTGTATATGTAAGTAATTGAGGAGATGCTAGTTTATAATGCTGCCTTCAGCGAGTCATCAAGCCATGAATGTGGTACCATTGCCAGAAGTGAAAGCTCTTAAAGCAGTGACAGTCACCAAAAAATGCTGGAGTCCTGATCCAGCAGGTATTGTTAGTTAGTATGAAAAAAACCCTGTGCTTGATAGGGTTTTTTTTGTTTGCTCCAGAGAAAGTGCCAGGAGCAGGTTTCATAGCCTGCCCTGAAATTATTAAGTTCTGTAAGCTCTCCTGATGTTTAAGGCAGTTTTTGAGGCTAGGGAAGATAATTGTGGGGGTGATGTTCCGCTGTCAGGCTTTGATAATCATTCAGCTTAACACACCGTATCCAGCACTAGCTTCATACTATGTCCTAGAAGTGCAAGTAAAATAACCCAGCTGTTGAAAGTGCTTTTACTATTTATTCTTGTCACAGCAGCTTCAGGAAGAAAACCCTGAAAGTGCTTTGGAGCTACCTGCATATGCTTACTTCCCAAAATGCAGAGGCAGTGTGGAAGAAGCCCTCTTTCAACCAGCCAGCTGAGCTCATTCAAAACCTCTTAAAACTCAGTAACTGCTCAGTGCTGAGTTTTATCTAGTCTACCACTTTGCAGTATTGTTTCAAGTATGTGTTTTGCATCAGAGCTCTCCAAAATCCTTTTGGTGGTGAATATGCTGAGTTAGATTCTGCACCATGTGGCGTTGTACTGGGTCTGGCTGTGATGGAGTCAGCTTCTGTCATAGCTGCCGATATGGTGCTGTATTTTGGATTTTGTGACAGTGTTGATAACATGCCAATGCTTTACCTATTGGAGAACACTGCTTGCAAAGTGTCAAGGATTTCTCAGTTTCCCATTTTGTGCATGCACTGAATGGGTCAGCTGAAGCTGAGAGGAAACATAGCTGGGACAACTGACTGAAGGGATATCATGTGCCATATAACGTCATGCTCAACAATGAAAGTGGGAGGTTTTGTATTTCCAGGGTAGCCGTTGCTCCAAGACTGGGCATCAATTTGCTTGTGGTCTTCGTTGGTGAAGGGCTTTGAACTGCAAGGAAACTTGAAAAGAGTTGAAACTATAATCTTCTAATCAGGTTACAACTATGAATTATGCCATGTCCAATATAATTTATTCAGATTTTATTATGGCTGAGGTACATACTTGTACTACTGCAAAAACCTTGCTGATGCAATAACCTAAAGAATGTAATTTTTTTAGTAACCAATTGCTTTGATGTGTATTGATTGTAAGTCAGTACATTTCTACCAAGTATCTTCTAAGGATCTTAATGTTTCAAATGAAGGAACCTAGGATACTAGCAGGTTTCATAATGGCTTCTAGAAGCTGAATTACTAAAGTTACTGATATTTTACTCTACTGTGGAGAATGTTGTGATGCTGATTGCCTAAATCTTACCTGATTGCTTGGATTTGCAAGACCGATTTTCCGGAGCTGTCTAAAGGGAGATAAAATTAGTTGGTCTTTTTTCTTCCAATGTCAATGTTCGTCTGTGGAGTGACCTTGATTTCATATGAAAAGTATTTAATGCCTATCCTTTGCTGGTTTAGCTGCTTTAAAGCAATGTCCTTTTGAAGTAGACTTCAAACTTTGATCAGCAGCTTTCGTCTGACTAACGAAGGAGTTCCAATAATCCACACTGCTGCTTTTGTTGAATTGTTAAATTTACAGTGCTTCCAAATCACACTGCAGTCACAGGCTATGATATAAATGTTAAGGAAACTGAAGAATATAGGATTTAGCAACTAATACTTTTCAAAGACATACCAAACTAATAAATACTTCTGAAACATTGAATTGATATTAGTATGGTTGAGTATTGGGTGGAGTCTGACTTAGCTACTATGCCACCTCTGCTTTCAGACCCTTAGCTGCTAGAAATCGAATCCAGTGAGAATGTCTGCAAAGGTATCTGCATAAGACGTTTACTTCTGAAACTGGTCAGGGAGGATTGTGTACCAATAGCAACCTGACTTTCTTTCACTAAGCTTGTCATGTGTTGCATGTTACTTAGGGCCCATTGCATCAAAGTCTTACTCCATTTGTCTGTCGATATTCAGGATTTGGTTATGTTTTGGTATTTTTATCCGCTGAGTTGTAAGCAGGAATACAGATTTATTGACTAGATTTTTTTCAGATCATCAAGAATCTGTGTGAGCAAGTCTGTAAGCTTTTGTTTCTTCTCTGTTAGACTACCATTTGAAAAGTTGGAGCCTGGATATCGGCTTTCATCTTGACTGAATGCATGGCAGTCCCAGAGGTATAGGGTGGAGATGGAGAAGGAAATTCTTGAAGATGATGAAAGACTTCAGTACAAATCATTCCTCTAGAAGTGTTAAGCATATCCCATGCATTTGACTTTTTATGTGTGTGTGTCCTGCTTTCAAACTCTGGAGGTCTTCCCATGCCATTGCAAGAACTCAGAATAGTTTCTAAGTTTTTGCTCTGTGTCAGGAAACCATACCTGTCAGTTTTAAGCTTACTTTAAGATCAGCCTTTGTGGCCGAGGAAAGCTCAGGTTCTCTTTCTATGCTTTTTTCTTTCAGTAGTGGAAAAATTTGCTCAGTGAGCAGGCCTGGCCATGGAATAAATACGGAGTGTAAATCCCATTAAACTATGGATCATCGGGCAACTCCAGAGTATAGCACTGCGTGTGTGCGTGCTGGAAAGCCTTGGCAGCAGTGAAAGAGGCCTCTAAGCCCTATTTGCCCAGTGATTCCCAAGAAATGCCCAGGATTTCCTCAGATGTTCTGCCTCTCTTCTTAAGCACACTGTGAGACAGGAAGAGAGTTCTCTGTGGTGAGGATGCAGCTCTTGCATTCATCTCCATCACCACAGAACACTTTGCTCCCTTTGCTCCTCGTGGAGGTGTCGGGGGGATAGGATTGCGCCAGTGGGAACCCACCTTGCTCTTGAGAGCAAGGTTCAGAAGTGTATTGATCATCTAATGAGACACGTCAGGGTGTGACTTCTCTCCGTTTAAGGGTGAGGACCCTGCTCGTCACAGATGGCAGCAAGGGCTGAGCTGAACTGGGTGGAACGGTTGTGGGCCAAAGCTCCTGAGCCTCCCTGTGCTGTGCAGGAGCTGGTGCTTGCTGTCCTGCGTGCGTTGTCGCCTCACTGTGGCTGATGGCTCTGGCAGCCAGGAGTGATTTTCCTGCAGCCCTTATTAAGTGAAGATGAACATGAGCCTCGAAAGGGTAAGGAAATCCAAGTTCGGGTTGCTATGGACAGTGTTACCACAGTCCTGTTCATTAAAGAGTGTCTCCTCCTGTTTCTATCTGAGGGCTGATAAACCTCTACACTTACAAGCCTTTCAGCCTGCAAATTTTCTTTTCATCTCCCGCCCTCAGCCCACACTAGGTAACTCAGTAAACAGCTTATTCAACAGAAAGAACTTCTCCACAAGGGCAAGGCCAAGCCCTTGAATATTATTACTGTGGTGGTTTTGGTGTGTTACAGCCTGCTGTGGTAGTTCTCATAGAATCAGTCATTATAACTGGAAAAGACCTTCAAGATCAAGTCCAACTGTTATCTAACTCTACCAGGTCTACTTCCACATTTTGGTAACATATGAGTCATGTTGCCAGAAGTAGTTGGTATTAGTAAGAAGTGATTACCAAAGCTGTGACCATGTCTATGTCTTTTCCTAATTGACTTTACCTTTGTAGAGTAATATATTCAATGACCTAGATTAAAGGCATATGTGTGATTAGATATACATATAAAAAATATTTGATACCTTATCTGGAAACCTCTTCTTGAAAGCTGTTAAGAGAAAATGGGAATTTTTGCAGTGGCTCCCAAAATTGTGAGGTCAGGGACTGTACCAGGAAGCACAAGGCTATAAATGCAAACCAACGAGAGTTAGTGGGTGATCAGTGCTACCTGGACATTGCACCAGTGTCAGCTTTAGGCCAGTTCTTGAATCAGAGAATCATAGAATGGTTAAGATTGGAAGGGACCT